GGTTTAGGGTATTAGGGTTTAGGGTTTAGGGCTTTAGGGTTTAGGGTCTTAGGGTTTTGTGTTTGGGTCTTAGGGTTTAGGGCTTTAGGGTTTTAGGGTTTAGGGTTTAGGGTTTAGGGCTCTAGGGCTTTAGGGGTTTAGGGTTTTAGGGCTTGAGGGTTTAGAGCTTTAGGGTCTTAGGGTTTAGGGCTTTAGGGTCTTAGGGTTTAGGGCTTTAGGGTCTTAGGGTTTAGGGCTTTAGGGTCTTGGGCTTTAGGGTTTTAGGGTGGGATTTAGGGTTTAGGGTTTGGGGCTTTAGGGTTTTAGGGTTTAGGGTTTTAATCGTTGGCTTTTGTTAGATTAATGAAGAAGTTACAGAAAATATACATTCTCAGAACTTTCGAGAGGTCTGGGGCTTCAGGTCTAGGATGGATTTAGGTTTCAGGCCACACGAGATGCCATCGTTGTTGTAACTTGTAAATGAACACCCCTGCGACACCCCGAACTACCCAAACCCTAAACCCTAAACCCCAAAACCCAAAAGCCTAAAGCTATGTAAACCCTAGACCCTAGACCCTAAACCCTACACCCCAAATCATTGCCCGTCGCGCCAGGCCGGCCGGATGCTCAGAGAGTCGACGCTGCACCCACCACGGTCTGCGGCAGGAGGTTGGGTTTAGGGTTTAGGGTTTTAACAGGGTTTGGGGTTTAGGGGTTTAGGGGTTTAAGGGTTTAGGGTTTAGGAGTAGCTCCATCTCTCTTTGGCTGACGGCCTCCTTGAGCTCTGCGATGACGGCTCCCTGTGCCTTGCTTAGCTTTCGCTCTTCCTCCAGCTTTTCCTCGAGCCTGCGCTTTTTTCCGGGGGACTTAGGGTGGGTTTTGGTTCTAGAATTTGGGGGTGCAGGCTCTTGTAAGGCTTTATAGGGCTCTGTGTTACTACCCCTTGGGCGGGGTTGAGAGGTGATGCTTTTAGACTTAGGGTTTTTAAGGCTCTGGTATATACAACAGCTCTAGGGAAGAGTGCTGCACGTTGTGCAGGCTCCTATATTACCCTCACTGAGCAGACGCCTTTTCTTCAGAGACTTGAACTATTTCTCGCTCCGGAACCACTGCGCGGTGAATGGCGGAGGCTTTTACTGCTGTTTATTAGCCTCGTTGTGATTACAAACATGGTCACTCTTGGGAGATTTTAATTGAAATAGGGCTTTGGGATTTATACTATCACCTGAGCCCTAACGAAACATCATATTTATATTTGTAATGAGGCAGGCTTCTGTACTATTCTGACGCAGGTCATGGCAACAAGTAGCCAATACTTCGCTGGCTACTCTTAATAACTATTCAGCGGATGCCGAGAATAAATAACAGTAAGTCCAGTTCGAATTTAAAATTTACGGCCAAGGTTCAAGACAGACACGTCATGGAGTTCGTTCTGAGTGAGGTTCTACTTAGACTCTACTTGGAGGTTCATGGGCAGTTATATAAGGGTTACGGTTACAAGTCCCCTAATATGGGAAAGAGTTCTTATCGTCACCCTACTTATGTCTCCACTTATAGCTACCCATGAACCTCCAAATAGGGCCCTAGGTCGCGAGGTCCTTCGGATCTGCAGGCGAACACTTGGCACAAGGCCTCGTGTCTCGAGGATGTTATCCAAGTTAGGCTTGGGGGCTTCCCGTTGACTGCTGGATTTCACGCAAAGCCTACCTGGACCCTAAAGGGTTTCAGAGCAGAGCTTTTGCATTCTGGAGCAAGTATAAGTATATTGCACAAGATAGGTTCAAAGGAGTTCTATAGGACCGGTGGTCGGTTTCTGGTAGTCTGATAGTCATGATGTTGTATCAAGCAACCGTCGTGCCCACAGCTGCACGCTCACTGGTATGTCCGTACCCGAACCCAGCATTTGTAGAAAACAAGGGCTCCCTGAGATAGCCTACACCTGAACCACAACCTTAGCAAGATATACCCCCCTAAACCCTAAACCCTAAACCCTCAACCTTAAGCCCTAATCCCTAATTTACATAGCAGGATCCGGTCTGTGGCCCCGGGCTACACTCCCCGCGAAGCTTCCACTCTGTACGGCAAAGCCAGCCGCCCAGTAGCCTCCGGCATGTGGTTGCATGAAGGGGCCATCAGCATTAGACTGGGGTATTCGGGGCATATTCTAGGAGACCTACTATGCGGACTAGAACTACTATAGTAGATGTAGTTAGCTATATATATATATATATGTATATATATATATATGTAAATACGGATTAAGAGTTGATTCTTTACCACCAGACTCTTTCGTACTTGTATTGTGGCTTCGGGCTTGGGGCTCAGGCGTAATAAAGTATTACTTGCAGTCCCCATTGAAATTCCTTTTGGGGGTTACCCTATACGGTCCTAAACATAAAATGGGCTAAACCCCAAAAGGGAACTACAATGGAGACTATGGGTATAAGCCTTAAACTCTGAACTCTACGCCCTAATACTTGCTGACGATGGTTGGGAGCTTGGGACTGATTGTCTCGGACGCATAGAGATTCTACGGGCTCGAAAATTGGGGCCCCAAAAAGCCTAAACCCCTAAACCTTAGGCCATAAACCCTACGCCTTGCCTCATGGTTTGGAACTCCTGCAAGGCTGTCGTTTCCACTTCCACTTTTGCGGCCAAATATGTATAATGGAAATTATACTTTGTATACACATATATACTATACGTATATATATATATATACACATACACACACACACACACCACATAAATATATAACAGTCAATATACATAGTATTCATGTATCATACCTTAATCATTGTATATAAAGTGTATCACCTCCCCGTTGATTCTTGCTCTGATGCTTTGGCTGCCAGCACAGCAGCTGCTGCAGACAGTGGTTGCCCCTGTGGCTAGTGCTGCTAGTGCTGCGGCTACGGCAGCGGCTGCTGATGCTATGGCATGAAGCTGCACCTGTGAGCATCCTCCTCTTCATCCTGATCACTATCACCACCCGTCAAAGGGCACCTTCGCAATTTGGTGTCGGGTCTGCTGGCTTGGCCGTTGTTGCAGCATCTGCAAGCCTAAATTGCCATAGCAAACCTCAGCCCTCAAACCGTCAGGCCATGCACCACACCTGGACCCAAACATGCCCAGCAATTCTGTGCCCGTTGGTCGCTTCAGCGGTCTGAGCACGCTGCGGTACTCGGCACTGGCACTTTCTGCAGAAGCATCCTCGCACAGGAAATGAGACTGGCAGCTCTCCGACTAGCATCCCACTACTCGCAGCTCTTCCGCCTCCTCATCCTACCACGACCACCACCACTGCTACTACTACTACTACTACTACTACTACTACTGCTACTACTACTACTACTACTACTACTACTACTACTACTGCTTCTACTGCTGCTTCTACTGCTGCTACT